GGAATCCAGGCCCATTCCACCTCCAAAAGCAGAATCACAGCAGAGGAAACCCAGCCAAGCTAACATCAGATTCCACATCTGAGCCTCTAAGAGCTCAGCCTCCTTGGATGTGCCAGGTTGGCTACAGAATTTGTCCTTTACCTGTCCATGTTTCCTTCTAAAGAACTTGTTTCTGAAATTAGGCATTACATGGTTCCAGGGCCCAGCCTTCAAAATTTCTGGCAGGCCAGCTTCAACATTCCATAACCAACCTCACCTGAGTCAGACTTGGGTCCCACTCCCTCAGTTTCTCCAATGGGTATTTTCTGTCTTGCATGCTGTTGAGTCCAGCCCAGTGGCCAAGTGAGGAACACAGGAGTTGGGACTGCCACAGAGCCAGAAAGGGAAATTAGACTGCTTGCTTCCCTGTGGCTGCATCTATAGTCCCTGGGTATCCTTGCTGTGGCAGTGAGGCCTTGTACCCAGTCCAGCTCCTGGTAGAGCTGAAGAGAACAGACATAACAGCTTTGCAGCCCATAGGAGTTAAATGGGTGAAACCATCTTTGGGCCTCACCCCAGCAAGACCAGCATCTCCAGTCTCCAGCCTTCCTCCTCATGCCTGAGAGTCATGGAAAGAGTGGGACTACCCAGAGACCACCTTCCTGGGTCAGCCAGATTATCTGGATCTGTGGTGGGATTCCAGCTCTGCTTACTCAAGGGGAGGTAAGGCCAGGCCTCTAGCAACATGGAATTGTTTGTAATGACCTATAAAGGCCCAACTCCCCGTCTCCTGACTAAAAGGCATCTGCATCATATCACACGACAAAGAAACTTGTTCTTGTAGCATGTACCATCCCTATGAGAGAGCGCTGTATATGATTTTGTATTTTTTAATTCATTTTAATCTACAGGTTGGAATCTAATTTTTAAATTTTATTGGAACTCACATTTTAAAAAGAAAAACATTTAAAATAATAATAATAAACCTTTGACTGGTGTCTTCCAAGTAGTTTGATCAAAGAACTTATAGGTGTTTTCAAAACACAGCCTGGAGTGTAAAGATTGGAAAGCCCCACGGCCTCACTTGTGTGTATGAAGTGTAAAACTGGTTTTGTTTTGTTGTTTTGGATTCTTTTGGGTTTTTGTTTCGTTTTGTTTTGAAGATCAGATAGTGATCACTCTGAAAGATTGAAGCCAAGAATTTGTAACTATGATATTTACTGTAAGCTGTAGAACATTCAATAACTATTAAAAAAAAAAAGTTTCCAAAAAAAGTCTGGGGTGACCAGACTGGTGGTTCTTGGGCAGAGGGACACAAACTACCTCCTGGGCCAGTGAGTCCCTTGGGCTTCTCCCCACGTTGATTCTAAACTTGTTTTTACCAGTCAGGTAACACCTACGCTGCATCTCCAGGGCTGCCCTGGGACTCACAGTTGAGGGGCCTGGGAAGTGGCCGTCAGCACCTGGACTAAGGTTTGTGATACTGGAACACAGGGAGGCCATGAATGATGAAGGCTGATGTCTACCGACTGCCCACCATGTAGCCGGCGCTGTGCTTTATGCTTGGTAACTCATAATCCTCACAGCAGGATGGGAGGTGAGCCCTGTTGTTAGCCCTGTCCTTGGGATGGGGCAGCTAAGGAGGGTAAGTACCTTGGCCAAGGTTACAGAGCTGGTGAGGGGCCAAGATGGAAATTCACATTTGGTTTGGCTCCAGAGGCCAGGCACCAAGCTCCATGTTCTCCTGCCCACCTTGGAGGCGGCCGTGCCTGCACTCACTTAAACGGTAAGTTTGGTTTCCCATCTGAGAAGAGAAGGGCTTAGTAGTCACAGGATAGTTGAGGGAGGTTACATGGTTTCCATGCAGGTGGTAATCAAGTGCTGGAAGTTTTACATCCTAAACATCTCACTCTTCTCATCTCCCTTCTGGGCAAAGCCACTGCCCACTTCCAAGCCTGTGCTGCTCTCCCTGGTTATCACAGCCACCATTCCTAGGCCCTGGCCTCAACTGTCCACTCCCTCCCAACCTCCAAGTATTCAGCTTCCTCAACTGGAGAGAAACCAGCCCGAAGAGGCTAAGTGACCTGGCTCACGCTAGAGCTGTAATTAAAACTCAGGACTCCTAACTCTTGAGCCCTTTCCACCAAACTGTACCCTGGGCACCCTCCCCAGTTTCCCCTCCTGTCCTCATCTGACATGAAACTCATTCTCCCTTTTGGCGGCAGAGAGCTCTTGTCAGGTGTGGGAGGGGAGGGCATTGCTGGGCTTTGTCACAGCAGTTCCTCCTGGACAGGAAGGGGACTTTTCCTAGGGACTCAGCTCCAGGTTATTGGTAGGGCTGGGGGCAGGCAAGGAGGCAGAGACCTTGGCTCCATGGCCAACCATTCTGGCCCATGGGGGAAGGGATATGGAGTGAGAAGGGGGAGCTCAGAACTGGCCTCAGTGGTCAGCCCAGGGCCCCAGCTTGTCCTCCAGCTCCTACTGCTTCCAGCAGCCTGGGTCTATCTTGAGCTGAAGAGTAGGATTTGGGGTGGGGCAAGGAGCCCTGGGAGCGGGTAGGCCAGGAAAGCTTCCAGATGAGGGTGGGGCCCTGAAGGCCAAGAGCATCCTGATCCCTCAGCTCCTCATCACACTTTTGGGAGCTGGCTTCAGTATCCGCAAGGGACAGGTGAAGAAACTGAGGCCAGGGCTGTTCTTTTCTCTTAACTTTCCAGCAAGCAGGAAGTTGGTGAGGTGGGAGTCTGGAGGGGAGCTGTACTTACTGCCCCAGGGCCTAGCACTGAGATGGGATGTCCATTACCTGGCCTGGGAAGCCCAGATCCAGCCTGTCTCCACCCTGCCTGGCATCTATATGTGCCTCACTCCAGGCAAGACAGTATCCAGAGACCAGAGTCTAGCTTTCCCCTGAGACAGGAGGCCAGGGAATGGGAGGGCTCAGCCTCTCACTCCTCTCACCCAGGGCACTGTGTCTTGCTGTCTCCTCATCTCAGTGTGTCTCCAAGTCCTCTGTGAAGGTTGCCTGAGGGGACAGACAAGTTTGAGAAGCTAAATCCTGAGGTGCAGCTTAACAGCTGAAAGTAGGGACACCAAGTCCACCCTGGTAACCTCAGGGAACATTTCCTGGAACACACTGGTGATGCCTGCTAGTCCCCTACAATGGACACCTTGTTCTAGACTTTGGCAACCTTTGGTGCTCCAGAAGATGCCTCCTGATGTCCAGGCTGTCTCCTTCCCACCCCTAGAGCAGGTGATGCTTTGTCTCCTGGATCCTCAGAGGTGTTCTCCCTTTGCCACCCACCTAAGAAGCACCAGAGAAGCCTCTGCCCTAGAGAGAGGTCGAATCTCAGGGCATGTCTGCCCAGGCTTCCCTCAGGGTGAGAGTTTTCTCTGCAGCTGCTAGGCTGGGCCCCTGCCATGGTTTCTGCCTGAGAGAGAGGCCTCTGCCCTCTGTGAAGCCAGGCCTCCTGCAGGCCCAGCATGGCCACTGTCCTCTCAGCTGCAGCAGGCCTGGGCCTCCCACAGGGTGTCCCTTTCCACACCTCCTCAGGTTCCATCAAGTGTCCCTTTCTGGTACTTCAGCTTCTCCTTCTGTTAGTGTTTAAATATATCCTATTAGTGTTTAAATATATCCCCCTTGTCAAGCTTTTAAAGCCATACCAAACACCAAAAAAACCTGGAATTAACTAAAACCCCTCTCTCCCTGGAGCCTGAGACACCCCCCCCCACCGCCACCAGCTATCATGTGGCACAGTCAGGCTCCTGCAAGGAGCCACACCCCTGCTGGGGCCTGGCTCTGCCCTCACCACCACACCCCCTGTGTCCACTAAGCAGAGGGCGCTAGTCCTGTCCCTGCAGCAGCACCTGGCCTTGTGCTCCCCACACTCTTGTCCTCTCCTGGCTTCCAGGTTTCCTTGCCACCACCTTGGGTCTGCCCTGAGCTCTCCCTGGAATGCTTTCCTTCCCAGTACCATCCTGGTCCAAATGCTCACCTGAGTGCTGCTTGTAGCCCAGGGCTGTCTCTTCAGCGCTCTAGACCGTCACATCCAGATGCCTCAGGATGTCTTGTGGGTCTGTATCACAGATGCCCCCAGGACTGTTCCCCACCCAGCTGGCACTAATCCCGTGGCCCCCATCCCATCACAAGCCCTAGCATTTCTGTCCTAGGAATGTTTCTCTCCAGCATGACCACACAGTCCTAGGCTCCTCCATCTCTTGCCTGGGTGGCTGCAACAGCCTCCTTGTGGAAACCCTACTCCGACTGTGCCTCCACCCCCACACTGTGGTCTGGAATGAGCTGGCCAGTCATGCTTTTCCTCTTCCTAAATGCTTTAGAGACTCCCTGGGCCTCCCTGGCCTAGGGCTGATAGCTTCCAAGAGCCCATGGGGCTGCCTTCTGCTGCCCACTCCCACCCCAGTCTTCACACCTCAGCTGCACTGTATGTACTTCCAGCTTCTCATATTTTTATTGGTGTGTGGCCTTTGCACATACTGTTCCTCTCTGTGAAACACAATCCCCCTTTCCACATTTTCCAGCCCCCAATATGCCTTACTTACCCCATCCATTTGCCAGGTTCCACTTTCTCTAGAGCTGTGCTGTCCAATACAGGAGCCACTAGCCACACATGGTTATCAAGCCCTTGAAATATGCTATTTCACAATAAGAAGTGCTCTCAGTGTAAAATACACATCGCATTTCAAAGCAAAAAAATTGAAATGAAAATATTTTAGAAATATTGGGTTAAAATACATTATTGATATTGTTAAAAGTTCACTGCTTTTTATTTTTAAAAAATGTGGCTATTTTAGAAAAATTTAAATTACATATGTGGCGCACACTATTTCCACTGGACAGCACTGCCTCTAGGGCGTTCACTGAGAACCAGGGAAGGTGAGGGCCCCTCCAAGCCACTTCCCCTGCTGCCCGGTGCCCACCTGTCCCACACGTGAAACTCAGCACAGAGCTGTTCAGTGAATGGACGGACCTGGGAAGAGGCACAGGGAAAAGAAGCTCCTTGTGATACTACTTTCCCACCTTTTATTATTCAACAAATGGAGACATAAGGATGGGACAACAGTGAAGTTTCAATAAATAAGAGAAATGGGAATGGCAGTTGGGCCTGTGCCTGCACGACCCCAAATAAATAACGAGATGTCTGAGCCAGAGTGGAGCCTGGGGCTGGGCAATCGCCCGCACTGCCCAGGCCAGGGGACAGACACACCAACACTACAGGGACATAGAAACTGAGGCCAGAGGAGCCTCTACAGCCCTGTCACACACCCCTTTCCCCTGAAGCTCCTGAGACCTTGAGGTGGGCTGGGCAGGCTGGGGCTCTATACCACCCTGCCTGGCCAGGTCAGTCTGTCTTTTTCAATTTCAATAAAGATAGCAGGGTCCGGGGCAGGCACATGCATTAAACCCCTTCTGTAGGCAAAGCCATGGATGGCAGCCCCATGGGAGCTTTGAAGGTGGAGGCCCAGAAGCAGCAAAAATGGGGCCAGATAAAGCTACTAATGGGAGCAGTGGCAAGTAGTCAAACCCTCCACCCACACAACCCAGCCCAGAGCCTGCAAGATGCAGGAAGGCCCTGGGCACTGACATCACTCTACTTCACAGTCAGAAAAATTGTGACCCGGTAATGGCCAGGGACTTGCCCAGGATTAGAACCCAGGAACTCAGTTCCCAGCTCACGTTTTGTTGACCCCTCCCTTTATGGGACTTGTTGGAAGAAGAGCTGGGGGTACCCTCTACAGAGGCAAAGAGTGGCTAATTACCAGGGTGTTGGGGCCAGAGGTGCCAGGTAGAGGGCCTAGCCACCTGGTGGTACAGAGGACCCTGTGGGCCCTAAGGATCTGGTCAGGGCAGGGCACAGGGTCAAGGACATCCTTCAGGGAAGGAAATGGGTGGCAGGGACGGGGCAGGGGTTCTCAACCTGCTCCTGCACACAGCACCCGCTGGCCGGCCTGCCTCCTTACTGGGGTGGACACTCCCACCTTCAGGCCTCGGCCTTGGTGGTTTTGTCTGCTGGGCCATTGCTTCTTGATCCAACAGGCCTAGCTGCAGCTCCATCTCCTCCAGGAAGCCTTTGGAACCTCCCAGGTCAGGGCTGCAGTATCCTCAGACGAGATAGCCTCTCAGATGACCAGGTTGCTCTCACTTAGCCGGACCACATAGCGGTTCTCCTGAAGGGCAGGGGTGAGAGGTCAGAGCTGAGCCAGGGGGCTTCTGAGCTCCAAGACAGTGGTCCCTGCCCAGGGCCCTCTGCACCTCCACCCCTGCCCCATCTGCAGTCAGGGTTGGTCCAGGTGCCAACAGACACCTTACTCCTCTGGTCCTCACCTCGGCCTTGTTCTCTGCTGGGGGCTTCAGCCACTTAGTATGGCTTCCACCATTTCCCAGCAGTGCCCGCTGCTCACTGGGGAGGCCAGGTTGTGGACAGTCAGGGAGATCACCCACCAAGGGCCTGGCCTCCGTGATGGTCTTCACCTCGGAGGCTACTGAACTCGTCCGCTGCTCAGGAATTCGGGCTACACGGAACCTATGAGGAGAGGTGGTGTAATCATCCCCCATTAGAGGGGGACCCTCAGGTGTGGAGAGGGCAGTACCCACAGGGTCACACAGCAAGTTCCTAGATCAGAGCCTGAGCCCTCCCCATGTCCTCCCTCTCACTGCCAAGCTCCCAGGTGGACAGGCTCTTGGCCTGAAGGGGCCCAGGTGTGATGGGGGCTAGGACCCTGCCCTTGGGGCCCAATGGCTTCATGAGACACAGCATAGCTGGGGAGACCTGGCTTCTCTCCCTGGCCACCCACATTGCAAAGAGGCACACTGAGGCCAGGAAAGGTGGGACCAGCACTGAGCCCACTTCATGGCTCAGCTTAGGGCCGTGCCTCCCCAACAGCTGTCATGTCATGTCTCTGACCCTGCTGTGTCTATGCCCGCCTCACCTGCCCACAGACAAGATGGTGATCTCGCCCTGGCGTCCTGCCTTGGCTCCAGCCTTGGGAGCCCTGGCTGGGTTGGGCAGGAGTCTGGGAGTGGGAGTGGTGGCAGCTGCGGCCTCAGGGGACAGCAGCGCCTCAGGGGACAGCAGCACCTCGGGCCACTTCTTCTGGCTGCAGCGGGAACAGCAGGGGCCAGAGAGTGAGGCCAGGCCCTGCACGGTGTGAAGGTGGTGGCGATGTGGGCAGATGTGTGGCAGGTTGTGTGCGCCTGGTGGCAGCCTGTGAAAAACACAAATGGGAGCAGTCACTGGGGCAAGCCAGGCCCAGGACACCCCAGGAGGTATCCGGGTGACAGGAGGGGGAACATAACCCAAGTGTTGAGTCCCCAGGAGGCAGGCTGATTCCCTATTGAGTCAGAGCCCTCCTTGCCCACCAGCTCACTCACCTGGGAAGAGGCCTGTGGCTGGTCTGCACCAGCTGTTTGCTGTGATACTCCTTCAGCAGCTCCTCCAGGGCCGCTGCGTTCTCTGTGGGCAGTTGCAGTCAGAACCTGGCTCTGGGGCAAGAGGGGCACTCTCCCCAACCCCTTTCCACAGCACGAATCCCTCTCTCTAACCATCACCCCCAACCTGCCCCAGCACAAATCCTACCTACCCACCACCCCCTTCCTCCACCTCTCCACCCACACTGGTCAGAGAGGGCCAGGCTGGCCGGAGGTGTCCTGGCAGGAGGAGCAGGGCAGGGCTCTGACAGGAGACCTTCTCCTGGGCACAGGAAAGGAGTCAGACCTTCCCCTCACCTTTCTTCTCTGTGATCAGGCGCACAAGGACCCCGATGGTATCCTCGTTGGCGTCCTCAGCCCGGTAGGCAGGGTTGATTCCTGGGGAAAAGAACCATGATCCTAGGGAAGGAGTCACAGACACTCTGGGCTTGCGGTATGACAGCAGAGGGCGCCCCAGGCCTTTATGAGAGTCAGGCTATGATCCTGGGTATACATGCACCTACTGTCAACTCTGGTTCTAAGAAGCCCCTTATCACCTTCACTACTCAGCATCACTGTTCTCTGCATCCAACAGCCCCAGGTGCTTAGCAGTTTCAGGGCCATCTGAACTCCACAGTCCCTGCAGAGAGTGTGCAGGGTAGGGGGCCAGACTCGTTCAGGGCCTGCCTCTTCCCTCCTCAGCCTCAGGGAGCTATGGGCTGCCTCTCTGCCCAGAACCTCCAACAACCCCGGCAAACCGCCATTCCGGGCCTGTCATCTCCCTACACACCGCCTGGTCTATATAGCTAACTGAGGATCCTTGGTGAGCTTAGGGCTGAAACCTCAACGGCATGAGAATGGACCACATGGTCCTAGGCCAGCAGTAAACAGAGCTCCTAGGACTGGCATCTAGGCAGCACCCAGTAGTTAAAGGGAATCCTAGGCTAGGAAAACAAGTGCAGTCCCAGGTGAAATAGGCTGAGTCGCCTGCCTAAAGCTCCTGTCCCCTTCCTGCTCCCTGAGGTCTGCAGTGTCAGGGGTTGGAAAGGGCTCTGGCATGGGAAGCGCTGCTCAGTCTTCACCTGGCCACCAAGTTCATGGGTGGTGTATGTGCATGTGGGACCCCTGCCCTTCTGGCCTTTGAGGGCAATTGAGGGTAAGAGAAAGAAGAAAAAAAGCCCAGGCCTCTGGGGTAGGGGTGGGAGGAATATGACTCTCCCTCTGGTTCCAGGGCTCTTAACTCAAACCACAGCCTGGAGCTGAAACCTGAACCTCTCATGCCTTTCTCTGCCAGTCCTTCGAGCCAGAGGTCAGAGGTTACCCTGAGTACCCAGAAGGCAGTCCAACTCTTGAACCACACACAGAGCTGTAGCCCCTGAGGAGTCCAGACCTCTACAGCTGGGTAGGGCCTCACCCAGGGTGAGAACCCGCTGAAGCCACTTGACCTCTGCTCTGCCCCAGCTGCTACCTTGGCAACCTCACCCTTCCTTCCACTTTCTGAATCTGCAGTGTCTCCTCTGCAGCTCACGTGCAGTACCTCCAGCCCTCCTGATTAACCCTGGGCAGGCCAAGTAGGTCCCCTCAGGGGACCCAAGCTGAACTGTGCTGGGCTAGCTCTCTGGCTTCTCCACCCAACCCCAGGCTAAGCCTTACCGCTGCCTCCACCTCCAGGGCCAGGCCCGACTTCCTTGTGGGCCGTGCAGTGGTAGCCCTTCCGCTTGAGCAGGTTACACACCAGGATGCCCAGCAACCCCATGAGGCAGAAGACAGGCACAATGGCAATAACCGCATACTGGGCAGCCGTCTCCTCGGGGCTGCCTGGCCGCGTGCTGTTTCCAGGCTGCCGCGTCTCCCCTGCACTGCTGGCTGCTGCTGCCACCTCCACACCACGTCGGGCCCGCCGCCTCCACTCTGAGCACCATGGAGGATTGAGGCATGGAGGAAAGACACAGGCAGAGAGAAACACACTCAGAGAGGCCCAGGGTCCAAGTTCCTATATGTGGGGTACAGTACTGACATGTCAAGAGCCACCTGCTCCCCACCACATAGGGGAAGCAAAGGCCAACTCACCCCCTCCTCCTTTTTGGCTCTCTGATTGGTCCATGAGCCTGAGCAAGGTAGCCTCAGACCTCAGGATGGCCACACTCTGAACCCCCTGTCCACCACCCATGATGGGTCAGAGGGGTGAACAAAAGGCACCAGTGCACATGCCTGGGCACAGGGACAGGGGATCCTGCCTCCCCAAGACCTGGTCCATGAGTTAGTTGCTTCACAAGGTGACCAACTCAACAGGTGAGAGGAGGTGCATGTATGGAAGCATGTGTGCTCACACTCATCTACATGGGTCTCTTTGAGGGGATAAGGACAGGAGACCAGTCAGAATGTGAGACCCCAGCTGTAGCAGCCACCTGCTGGACAGTCTCTGCCACTCAGAGATAGAGTTGACAGACGCACAGCCAGCTGACCAATTGACTGCGTCCTGCTGGACACCCTCTGGCTGCACACCCTCCCCTGGGCTATGGGAGTGAGGACCCCACTGCCTTGGATGGTAGTGCAGGGGCCCTTGGGCTCAAGCTTGCCAGACCCACTCCCACATACCCCTACCAGTCCTAACCCCTGTCTGCCACTCACCATAACAGCCACGAGTACCCAGAGGTGTCCGGGAGCATGGCTGACAGGGAACATGGGGGGCCTCTGAAGGGGCAAACCACCTGCAGGGAGGGAAGACATTACTGAAGCCCAGAAACTATCTTTAAGAGAGGCTGGACCTTTCTACTGGACACCCTCACTGGTCCTGATCCATCCTACTTCATAGATGGGAAGACAAAGGCCCACTCAAGGGGTGAGTGAGGCTGGGACTTGAGGATCTCAAGTCCTAGTTACCTGTCCATGAACCACCACACCACACCCCACCCCATGGCTCACCCAGGCTGGCAGTTTCCACATAGTGTGTCTCGAGTTGCGGTGCCCGCCTGGACCTCCAGCCTCCCTCGAGGGCTGCAGCAGGAGTGGGGCTGACATGGGCTAGAGCCCCAGGAGGCTGAGAAGGTGCCCGGGGGACAGGACCTGCATAACGTGCTCTGCCCTGGGTCCTGCGGGAGGGAGAGTGAGAACAAAGCCAGGAGCCAGGGTTGAGGTCTCTGCCTTGGCCCTCAACAGTCTTCCCAGGAGAGGCAGATGAGTAGGGTGAGCTCACCAGGTTGGGCTCCTCCCCAGGTGGGCACTGCCAAGGGGTTGTTGATGTTGGAGTGGCCAGAGGCCAGGGCAGCAGCTGGAAGAACAGAGGGCAGGACACACTAAGAGTAGAAAGCACTGGGACGTGGCATCTCGGGCCACCACCCACTTCCAGATGCCGCAGGAGCAGGGACTGCTGACTGCACAGGGCCACCCCCACCCAGGCTTTGGGGACACTCTCTAAGCTCAATGCCTTGTGCTGCAAGTAAAACCTGCCTGTCTCTATCACCTAGGCAAGGAGAGAACCACATCTGCTTCTGAAAAGTGCTGGAAAGCCCCCAACAGGGCCAGATCAGAATCTCAAGCCCTTGTGCCTGAGTCATACCCTTCCAGCTCACCAGGATGATGAGGAGGAAATTCTTCCAAATTCCTCTCAAATTCTGTGCCCTCTTCCTGCTGCCTTGGCCCCCATACCACAGCTGAGCATGTCACTAACCAGCTTCTGCTCATCATCCCTGGGGCCAAGTCTACAGCTGGTAGTTCCTATTCTGGGCCCTTGGCTGAGTCTCTGTGACCTCCTTGCAACTCAAGGCCAGCCTGCTCACACCTTGGCATCTACACAGGGCATGACAGGTCCCAAAGGAAGGATCTTCTCAATTTGTGCCCCCTCCCGCCATTCCACTGGGAGCTCCCTTTCTCCCCATTCCAGATGTGAACTGTCTGACCTGAAATCTGCCCACTGGGGAGACCCACCCTCCATCCCAGTCCTCCAAATGGGCCCCAGCTTTGGGGTGGCAGGCAAAGAGCCAGCTGCGCTGAAGGGCAGAGAGAATGTCACACAGGAGACTAGGGACCTCCTCAGTCCCCAGACCTGGCTCCAGTACATGCCAAGCATTGGGAGGCCACCCACGCGAGGAGCGGCCTGGGCCAGGAGATGCTTCCTAGGATCGAACCATCTCGAGGAAGAGCTGCATAAACAATCCCAGCACCCATCGCGGCCACGGGTTCCTGAGTGGCACCCGCACTCCACCTCTTCAGGGCTGGGGTGCAGGGCTCAGGACTCACATGTCCCATATCCCATCCCCAACTCACCACAAGGAAGCAGGTCAGGGGCCAGTGCGGCAGGCTCAGCTTCATCCTCAGGCTCTAGCGGGTAGCCAGCCTAGGGCAGACGGAGGGGAGGTTCAGCTGGAGGTGGGAACAGGCAGGTGGCTGCTGTCCTTCCAGGGCTGCCCCCACGACAGGGCTGGATGGGGGCGTCGTGAGGTGTTGCTAGGCAGGCAGAGCACTGGGGCAGCTTGGCCTACTCTCACCACTCCCCGCTGCAGGCCTGAGTAGAAGTGGGGGCACCCTGTCTGGGGCCACAGGCTCCCAGGGCAGCACAGGCTTGGGAGGCTTCCCAGAGGAGGAAGGGCTTCCTGCCCCTCTCATAAACAGCCAGGTACCCTGGAGCATGGGCGGGGGCGGCTAGGAGGAAGGAAGCCTACAGCTTCATCCCTCCCACCCGGTGGGTGGGAGGAACAAGAAGGCTGACAGTGCCCCCATGCCCAGACTCTCCACTCATCTCCAGCACTCAGGGTCCTGCCACTAAGAACGCCTCCTTGCGGGGCCCACGAGCAAGCCCAGCCTCTCTTGCTTCTCTGCCTTCATTCTTGTTGTTTCTGTTCCAAGCAAGACCTTTTCCTCACACTTCAAAGCCCAACACAAAAGCCTCTCTTTCAGGAAGCTTCTCTAGATCTCCATTTTCCCAAAGCTGGGTCTGGCTCTCAAAGCTCCTGTGTGTGTACCCTCCCCAACTCCCGACCCCATCACAGTCCTGGCCTTCCCACGTGTCCCATCGTCCACACCCAGCAGACTTCACCACAGAGGTCTGGGATGTGTCTACATCTCTTGAGCCATGGGCAGACCTGTGGCAGACAGCCTTCAAGCCCTCTGTCCTCTCAGGTACCTACTGTTCTGGGCACTGCCCTCAAAACAGAAAAGGATATAAATAAGACAGATACTGTCCCTGTCCTGGGGGAGCTCACATCCCAGGGGAAACCAATGGCCAACAGATAAACAATGAATTGGGGGCCGGAGAGGGGGGCAGCAGTGTAGCTCAGTGGTGGAGTGCATACTTAGTATGCATGAGGTCCTGGGTTCATTCCCCAGCACCTCCGTAAATGAATGAATGAATGAATGAATAAAACCTTAAAAACAACAACAAAAGTGAATGTCCCACTGCCAGATGGCGGGAAGTGCCAAGAAACAAAATAAGGCACATGAGAGCACAGAGTATAATGGGCACTGGCCTGAGGCTGAGCCCCCAGGCTCAAGAGTGTGCCCTCCTCTGGAGAAAAATCTCCAGCCAGTAGACATGGATGGAAAAGCAGGAAGATTTGGATTAGACAACAGAAGGTAGCATGGCAGAGCAAGGGAGTTCCATGACATCTTCCCAGGAGGCCTGCCTCCAGACGGGAGGGTGAGGGGAGCTGTGGCTGTGGAGCCGCAGGCACAGGCCACAGGCAGCATCTGACCCCCAAGAGCAGGGAGGAAGAGCCAAGCCCAGCAGGTTAAGGGGAACTTGTCTGGGCCTGGAGCCGCCTGACGCCAAGCCTGGAAGGAGAAGCGCTGCCTGCAGTAAACCCCAGGTCACATGTGAGCCCCTCAGCCTACGGGCGGCCTGGACTTCCCACCTGGAAAAGGAGCCGGAGGAAACTGATCCACCTGCACTGGGCGGCCTGGCCTGGCACAGACCTCTGCAGGCCAGGGGTTTGAGTTACACCACAGGGGAGGGGGAGGGGCAGCGGTCATACCATCCTCGGGACTCTCCAGGTCACTGGCAATGGCTCTTGGCCCAAGACCAGCTCATGGGAAAACCCGGGACAGAAGGTCCAGCCACAGCATAAAGTGAAGGTGGTACCCTGGCAGTCAGCACCGAACAGGTGGCAGCCCCTAACTCATCCTCCACAGGTCCCTCCTCCACCTCGGTCACAAGTGTCCCTTCTCCCTGCCCAGGCCCAGCTCCCACTCAAGTTCTCCACCTCCATGGCCCTCTCCTTTGTTCCTCAGGGATCTAACCCACAGATTTGACCATGAGCCCCAAGGCCTCAGTCTGGCCACCCTACCACCCAGTCCCCTCCATGTCCCCAGGGTGGGCCCAGAGAGCTGGGGCAGGGGTGGAAAGTAAGAGGCACAACAGCCACCGAGAGGGCCCCAGTCCCACCCCTGGCCGTGACTGGCACCTGCTGAGGGACCAAGAAGGGGCTGTGCAGCTCCTCACCTCCAAACAAACAGGGAGCTAGGATCTCAAGACTTCCAGGAGGAAAACGGAGTCCAAAGGCCCAGACTCCAAGACAGCAAGGGCCCACTCAGGCACATTCACAGACACTCGCCACCTAGCGCCCTGACGCCTTCTAATTACCTGCCTTCTAATTACCCCAAACCAGCACTTACACCAGTCTGGCTGCCTGAGTCTCTGCTTACAGCAGCGCCCCCGGCCCCCACACTCAGGCAGACAGAGCCCCCAGTGGACCTGCCAGGTCAGGCAGCTGCTGGCCGCCGCCCAGAACCCCTCTGTATGCACATGGACGCATGCTGCTCTAACACCCCCTCTGCACCCTCCCCCCATCAGGCCTTCAGCATCATCTATGCCCCGAGCCCTGGAACCTTGACTGAAAAGCAAGTTCAGATCAAGCCCCTTGGCTGGGTAGGGGTCTGTGAAGGCTCCATCCCCACACCCCTGCCTTCTTGTAGGCAGGGCAGTCAGTGACCTTCTGAAGTCCGGCACCTCCAGAGGACTTCCTGGGGGAGGGCTATCAAAAATGGCCAGACCAAGGCCCGGAGAAGGGTACGTCCTCAGCCCACGGTGGGAGTGGTCCTGGCAGAGGAGAACCATCCCCAGGGCCCCAGGGGCAGAGACGGAAGTTAGCTTAGAGGCCACTCCGCCCTGAAATCTCCTAGCCTGGGGCCTGTCCCCATTGCCACGAACTCCCTGGGGGACCCAAGCTCCTGCTTCACCTCACTGGGTCTCAGTTTCCTCGTGTGCAAGATAGGGATGTTTATCTCCCAGAGCGAGGCTGTCATGAAGTTTAACTAAGGTAATGAGCCTGACATAGATCATGTGATTTCCTCCGCGTCACCCCTTCTTTTCCCCTGCACCTCCTGCCCAGGTTTGTAATGATTTGTTTGCTTACTTGTTTACTGCTGGCCCCCCACCAGACAGCAGCAAGGGCAGGGAAGTCTGTCTCATTTACCACAAAACCCTCCCTCGGCTGATGTCTGGAGCAGGAGACCTCCCCGAAACAGGCTTGTGGGGGCTTGGTGGGGGTGGGCCTTCCTCTCACTCAGCCCACCCCTACCCTCCAAAAAATGCCCAAACAATTAGAACCAGAAATTCCCTGGAAGAAAGCCAACTAGCAAAGCTGAGACAAGGGCCCCAAGCCGGAGGTGGCAGGAGCCCCAGGGAGGTGCAGCTCTGGAGGCTCAGAGAAAGAGGAAGCCATGTCACCGCCCAGGCCTCCTCAGGCCTCGGCAGCTTCCCCTTTCCCAGAACTGAAGCTCGTGGGGTCACCCGGCCCCAGCCTGGGGCCCCACCTCCAGGCACTCACTTTCCAGCCTCCATGGTGGCCGCTGAAGCTTCCCGAATCCCAACAGTCTCTCTCCCATGGCCCCATGCCCACCCTCCACCCCATGCCCTGGCCTCCAGGTCAGCCCTACCTGCAGCTTAGGTGTCTCAATACTGAAATCTGGCTCCTTCCCCCCTTCCACCTCCAGCCACTCTTGAGCTTCTTTCAGCCCCCACACTTGCCTCCTCAGACCGCAGTGGTACCTGCTGTTTCCTCTGCCTAGAAACTCCTCCCATCACCTGACCAACATCTACCTTTCCTTCAAAGCTTAGCTCAAAGTCACTTCCTCCTGGAAGCCCCCAGCCACCACCTCATTTGTACATTAATTGCCCTGGGTGTGACCATCCTGTTTACCCAGCCCCTTCCCCACTGACAGGGGTGCTGCCCCTCGTATCCAGGACCCAGCACTTGAGTACGTATGTGCTGAACCAAGGGGATCAGAAAAAGTGATCAGGAGAGGGCCAGAGAGCAGGCTGATAGTTAAGGAGCCCAGAGGTTGGGGTTGCGGAGGGGGGATTGAAACCCTGGGCTAACTTGGGGAGAACCAGCCTTCCTTGCTCTGCTCTTCACTGGCTTTGTTGCTGTGGACCCCACCCCCAACCTCCTGCCCCTCAGAGGGCTGTTGTGGGACAAGATGAGAGAATTCACATTAAATACTCAGCACAGGGCCTGGCACAGAGCAAGCCCTCAATAAGCATTCACTGGGCCTCAGTTTCCCCATGTGTAAATTGTGGAAGGGGCAATGGCACACACTTGATGGGAGGTGTGAAGTATGAATGAGATTCTCTTATATTTATGTATGGTTGCTTGGCACAGGACCTGGTACACAGTAGGTGCCCGACAAGCCACAGTGACAATCTGGGGGGTGGGAGGGTGAAGGAAGGGAGAGGGGTCTGGAAAGGCTACTGGGCAGAGCCCAAGTCACACCAAGACTAGGTTGCAAGCTGAGAAGCCTGCATTTCCCTGAGAGCTCCTACAGGAGCCTTGAAGGGTTAGCAGGGGAGGGAGAGGGATGGAACAACCTGTGTCTCAGAGGGCTCACTGGGCTGCTGCCAAGTGAGGCAGGACTGGGGCAGGACAGAGGTGGGAGGCAGGTACCCACCTGGAGCAGGGGTTGGGAGGCAGGCACTTCCGTTTCCCAGTCCGTGGCTCTATGGCCTGTGGCCCTCCCTGCAACCTCCAGAGTCTAGGGTTGTCGGGAAACAGCTGGACATGGGCCCCCCTCAGCAGTGGCCGCACCCGAGGCAGGAAGACAAAGGCTGCCCATCAATAGAGAAATCCAGGTTAGCGAGGAACCCAGTAGTTTCCTGGCAACTGGGGCTGAAGTAGGGCAGTGCCCATATTGGGTGGCAGTGAAGACTGCTAGGCATTGCCTCCTTTTCATCCTCCATCCTCACAGGGAAGGGACCTGACCTTCATTCCCTCCAGCCAGGCCCTCATCGTGTGTTGCCTCCACTCCTCATAGGAGAGGTAAGCATCCCTGTTTCACACCTGGGTAAACTGAGGCTATGAGAGGTCACCTGTATGGGTCACAAAGGCAGTAAGTGAAGCAGGGTCTATTTGAACAGCCCAGGTCTATCTGAATGCTTCCCACCTCACTCCTAGCCCCCCCTACCCTGGAGCCTGGCCCTGGGCCTGGCATATAGCAGATGTTCTAAGTGTTTGCCAACCTGACAGCAGAGGCTAGGGAGCTAGTGGCACCCAGGAGGCATTCAACTGAGAGACTATCACAAAGCACCCAGGTGGGCCCCAGGGAAGGAGGTGCTGTCCCCATGGGGGTCTCTGGGGCCTCTGAAATTTCCCTGCATCCATACACATTTGCATGCTGCCCTCATCTATGCCAGATCCGAGGGGAAAGGCACTGGGACCTGTAAGAAGCAGGAAGCCCAGGGAAGGCTGGGAATTCCCAGGAGGAGGAAGAGGAAGATCCCAGGGTGGAGCCCAGCTCCCTAGGGCTGCTGACGGGCTGGGGGCCCAGAGGTGTGCAGAGGCTGCCTCAAGGCCACTCAGGAAGAAGGGTGCACCCATTCCCACCTCCAGCCCAGCCTCAGGCTGCCAGGATCTCCCAGGTCACAACCATGGGGTGAGGATTCCAGGCAATGCAGACCCCTAATCCCGCACCAGGCACACCAGGCAGCAGCTGCACCCAGGGCAGCGTTCAGGAGGCTCAGGGGCAAGACGTAGGCAGGTGGGGCTGAGGGGGCTAATTGGCCCTTGAGGCTGAGAAAAGGGCTGAGGTGGCCAGACAGGGCCCACCTAGCCCCTCCTAGTCTGGGTAAAGATAAAATCCCTGCCCCCTCCCTGGGCTGAGCCTGGGACTGGGAGGCGGGGCAGGGGCCTAAACCAGACAGTTCTCTGAGGCAGAGCTGGGGCTTCCCAACACCCACCCCGTCTAAGCACCTACCACATGCCCATTCCCTTTCCTGGCCTGAAAGACAGGGTTCTAGGCCTCACAAATGAGGAAACTGAGGCTCAGAGAGGGTGAGTAGATCCTGTAACAACCTGGTCTCAAACGAGACAAGGTTTATACCATTAGGACTGGGGACAGGCAGCTGGCAGCCCCTGCCCTCGCCACCCAAGGCCTGGCATTCCCACTGCTCCTGCACACTCTACTCCAGCCTAGCACCCAAGGGCTCAAAACCAGGGGCTTCCTGCAGGGAGGCTGGGCCAGTTCCCAGGCCTTGAGACAGGACAGCAAGGGGCCTAGGAGGGCTGCAGGACACCCAACTCCCCACCCCTACTCGTGCCACTGCCACCTTCTCCTCTGAGAAGCCACCTTTGCCTCCTGCCCAAGCCGTGCATCCGGTACCAACCGCTACTGTGCCAGGGCATCCCAGAGTCTGCTCAGCACAGGCCCTGCCCCATCACCCTGACCAGGCCAATTTGGGCGAGGCTTCAAGAGACTGAGGGGAGACCACAGGCCCGGCCTGCCCTGTTCTTCAACTCCTCCAGACTCTGGGTGCTGGGCAAAAAAATCCCAGGGCCTGACCTGGGATTGCTTGCACCCAGCAATCCCAGGTCAGGCCCTAACCTACAGAGCTTGTGGACAGAGGTCAGCCTGAGGGGGGAGGCTGGACCCCGGAGCAGTCACACCTGGGTTTAAGCTTTTGACCTTCAGCAAGTTACTCATACTCCCTGAGCTTCAGGGTCCTTCTCTGCAAACAAAGGTTCTGAGGGGTAAGAGAAGGCACCATAAATAGAACTAGCCAGGCCTCTCCTAAGTACCAGTTCTCAACAGCCCACAAGGGCCAGAAGAGGTCAAGCTCACAACCGAGCAGCATTCAGCCAAGGTCAGCCAGTGACTCAGGAGCAAGCAAGGGAGAACCCAATGTCTGTCCCAGTATCACGGATGGAGAAGCCTTGGCCTCCCGGGAGGACCCATTTCCCAGCCTTTACACAGGCCTGTGTCCACCTGCTCCCAGGCCAACTGAAGTCACAGTAAGGAAGGTGGAGGGGTGCTGAGCAGTCAGAACCTAGCCCTACATCCTGGAGCTTGTCTCCTTCTCTGTAATTTGGGACAATTGTGCCTGTCCAGCTGACCCCCTGGCATTGCTGAAGGATCCATTGTTCATTGGGGAACAGTGGCTCTTCTTACAATCAGGCCTCAGCCCAGGTGCCACCTCCTGCAGGAAGCCTTCCCAGCCTCCTTGTCAGGGTGGACTCACCCCTCTCCTGGCCTCTTCAGCCATCATTATTTGTGGTCCCCCTCAGGGAGGGAGGGAAGTGCAAGCAGGAGGTGGGTACACAGCGCCCTCCCCGTGCTCACCGTGAAGAGGGCCCAGGTCCAAGTTAAGTCCCTCCTTCCAGAAGCCCTCCTTCCTTCTCTCTCCAATCACACACTAAGACCCTGCCTCTAATTCGCTATAAAGGCCCCTCCATCCCTCTCCATCTCTGCCAAGTAGCCAGGGCACACACTCACAGCCACATGGGAAGTTTATTTATAGAGCTCTCATCTTTCCCAGGGTGGCCGGGGAAAGAGCTCTGGCCTTCCCAGCAAACAGACCTAGGTGAGGATCCCAGTGACACTGGAGTCTTGCAAGTCCCTTCCCCTCTCTGGGTCCTCTTTTCCCTGCCTGTAACTGGACGGGGCTGCTGACCGCACTGGCATGAGTCTGAGGATGAGAGGGCCTCAGGGTGCTATCCAGGGCTGGGCATACAGTAGGGACGCAGCATTGGCTCCTCCTGTCTTCCCTGCCACCCCAGTCCCAGCACTGCCAGAGACCATGTCCCAGCACCCTAAGTCCTGAGTTGGGGGTGCCCTGCTGGCTGAGCTCAGGCAAAACCCTTCCCTCGCTGGTCCACCCCTCCTGCTCACCTGAAGGGCTGGCCCCCAAACCCAGCCCAGGCCAGGTGCTGAACAGCCTCACCAAAGCTTCTTCATCCCCCTGTAGGTAGCCAGCCTGGTCTTTGTTTGGAATCTGATGCCAGAATTGTCAGACAACCCTCACCTCTGCCTGGAGATGGGGCTGGGGGTTGGGTGAGAGCTTGAATGCCAGGCTCTAGCACCAGCGACTGTGTGACTCAAACTAGGGCTGGATCCCTCTGCCCTCTGAATCTTGGCTCCCCATTGAGCATTTGGGAAGAAAGGGGATCCCCTGTAAGTCCAGCTGCAAGGAACCCTGGGCCCACGGCCTGACACACCACAGGGCCTGAAGTAAGGAGCTTCCTCTGCTGGCCCAGAATGAGGGCTGTGCCTGAGAAGTGTCCATGGCAAGCACCAAGCTCATCCCAACACACAGGAGTGGCCTTGAGTATTTGCCCTTAACCCCCGGCACACACATGGGAAAAATCAGAGACCCTGGGTACAAACCTCCCTATGCATCCCAGCACACAGTAAGCCCTCAGCCTACAGTGGCTGCCCTTTCTCAGGAGGAGGTCTGGCCAGCAGAGATATGGCCTCAGCAGAGGGCAGGCTGCCGGCCAGGCCAACCCCATTAAGCCGGTTGTGCAGTACCCATGAGGGCCCCACCCCTGCACCTGTTCCCAGAAGTGAGGGGGGACACGTGGCAGGTGGACCACACAATGAAGAGGGACTAACACTGGGCAGGAGGGCTTCCCAGGTGGAGGAGTGGGTGAGGGTGGGGGGAGTTTACCCTGAATGACCAGGAGGGTTCTAGAAAGAGGAGACAGCAAAAGCAAAGGCAGAGTAGAACCAAGGCATCTGGTAGGGAGAGATGAGGGTGAAGGTATAAAGTTCAAAAGGGTCCTGGAAGGAAAACCAGGATGAGGAGACTGAACTACATTTTGTAAGAAAAAAGTCTAAGTAACTTTAGGGAGGCTGCCCTGGCAGGGTGTGGAGGAACTGGAAAGGGAGGCAGATAGGCCAGTAGAAGTCGGGGCAAGGACAGCAAGGCCAGAGCTGGAACATAAGAGGGCGCCCTGACTGTGAAGGCATGTCTTGGGCCTGCTTCCAGGCCTGGGCCATGTGCTGCCTGCTGGGGAACATGTGGTAAGAAAAAAGGTGGGTCCCCTGTCTGGAGGGTGAGGGCCAGAATGTCAGGGTTCTGGGGGGTCCTGGGCTAAGTCCCAGCACTTCTCAGAACCTCAGTCTCTCCCTCTGTAACATGAGGCTGACCCTATGAGCAGGGGCAAGGGCTGATAGTCCCCCTTCCTTGGCTAGACACAGGCACCTCCTTCCAGCATCGCACCAGTCCCAACTGGGGCCACACTGGAAACCCAGCCTGGCCCCGCTGCCATCGTCCTTGTTATCCAGGGAAACCAAGTTCTCAGAAAGGTTTGGTTTGAGCAGAGCACAGGGTAGGGCTGGGATCAGAAGAGGTTAACCCTTGATTAACCCTTCCCCAATCCCTGCCCTTCCTCGGCCCTGAGCTATTTCCACCTCTCTGCTGGGGATAGAAATAACTCAGGCTCAGCCCCAGGAGACCAAGACAGCTATTCTGATTAGCCCCAAGAAGTACAGCTCCAGTCATTCCAGAGAGGACCGAGAGACACCCTGATACCCAGCTCCAGCTCTCGGCCAAGCAGCGTGTGGGTGGATTCGGGAAAGTTCCCCTAGAACAACTCTGAATAGGAGCGTAGGGCCTCTCAGGTATGGTGATGGTCGACTGGGACTTTAAATCATCCTTACCACTGTTGAGCCCAGGTGGTGCTGCTGACTCCAGACACTCTTTGGAGCTACATGGATGCTCCCAAAGTCAGTAACAGGCTCTAGAAGGCAGGAGACAAGCCTTTCTGGTGACCTCTGGCTGGGGTGGGGGAGGTGCTGTGAGCTTAGGGTAGGGAGGAAGAGGAGAAATAGGAAGACCATGTAACCCACCCACCCCTAATGTTTCAGATTTGTGTGCAAATAAACACCACACTCAGAACTCACAACAACACACCCTGGGTTGTTGCCACCTTGGGTTTGAGAGAACAAAGCCCAGATAAGCCAAGAGCAGATATTAGG